TGGTAAACAAATACGTTTCAAAACAAAAAGAAAAACCAAATTTGTAAGCTATAAGCATATAAAAAAGCAACATATCGATAAGGCTTAAAAAGAAAACTATGGACTCATGCATTCTGCCCTCTCAAACGTATGTTTCCCAGACGTGGAAAATTACGAAGAATATTTAAAACAAAATTAGTTCATGCCAGAAGGGAATGGAACGCAGCATGTTTAACATAAAGAAAATACACAAAATACGTCACACGAAAATACGAAACAATACCAAAGCAATAGATGCTAAAACAAATAGCACGACGTTACAATAGAGCGTAGTTTTTGAATATGTATAATTAGGATGTTTTTTAATTTCAATAGCCTCACGTATTATCCTTGGTAGGAATTGTATGTGAAGCATCAACCTTCCGGGAAGTCTGCAGTTTGTGATCATATCCTAGACGGCCCCAACAATTACATCAGATTTGATAAACAACAAATCCTCGCGAAATAACACCGATTCCTACCAAGGATGATACGTGAGGCTATTGAAATTAGAAAACATCCTATTGGGTTTAACAATGACATCGGGACGACAGTCACCTCAGTCCCCCGTGACCATGGGTGCCGGAAAGCACCCAAAAGGTCGCGAGTTAAAAATAAAAATAATTAAAAGTATAATTAAACGCGATAAAATCCCTAAAAGTAGTTTTATTCTATGTGAAGTTTTCGCGTAAATATAAGAAATCATTAGGTATTGTCCTTTTCTTCTTTTTACACAGTCCAAAAGGATCTGCGATCGGCTGTCTGAGATTATTTATTTTTCTCTTTCAATGTCCCTCGCCATATCAGAATCGATACTACTGCTTCTGTCGCTTTCATCAGCCATCTTTGATTGTGTTTTGGAAGGAGACAAACAAATATAATAATAAGATCCTGACAAGTTAAATAATATAGTATAAGTTAAATAATATATAAATTGTCTTCTATTATCACTTTTCGGCCAAGTTTCGTTATTGCATATGGTTTTATATGATGGTATTAAACCAATTTTCAAGACAACCGAATCGAAGAAGAAGAATCGAACTAGCAACCTTTTGACTGGTTGTACCTGGTTCCTGTAGGTCCACCCTCCAACCATTGATTCCAAAAATGATCAGCTTTATACACGACGTAAACGGGTAATAACTGGCCGTCAGCAGTGCCGATAAGCATTAAAAAAATATACGTCTTGGTATAATTGATAACCCTTTCGGGGTATTTAAAATCCATCTTACACTTAAAACATAAATATTTTTTGTTGCCCGGATCATCGTCAGAATTGTCTTATCGTAATTGATGAGACAGTCTGGGGACACTCCTTCAATAGAATTTTTATAATATAAAAAAGTCGTCTATCATGGCTGGTGAGATTAAAGTGCACACGCTGGATATATTTAACGTTAGGCGGTTTGAAATTTCTGATTTATGCCCATTTGTGAAGTTTCGCGCACATTCTACTACGATCATATTATCTTTAAGGATATATAAGTTATTTTCTCATTTTGTTCAGATACTTTTGTGCAAATACTCTAAGGTTAGTGGAATCCAAAGGGAATTTACTCAATAGTTTTATGTATTCTAAGAACGATCTTTTAGGTTGATGGGGCTTTTTTTGTGTGCAGTTTATATTTCGACATTTTCTGCTTAATGCACTCTTTGGGATATTGTATTTTTCAGCAGTCTATTTTAAATTTTGTGAGCTATTTGCAAATTGCTTCTATGGATTTTTGTAAAACTTCATTGGAATAATTCAGGTAAGGTAAAAGATTCTTGCCTTTACGTGAATTTATGAACTTTCTTTGGTATGTGCATCCTATGGTTTATGTGCGTATTACAAAATAAAATATTATTAATAAAGTAATTTCTCTCATTAACCTGGTTTTGATTCCATAAAATAAAAAATCAATTGTTTGTGGTGTCATGAAAGGGTAGCGAGGTTCAAGAACTAAAATAGTTAGGATTCCATACCCTCTCAAAAAGACCCACCGATATAAGCTTATAATTAATCCTTCTCATATTTATAAATATTTTACGAAAGGTAATCGTATTTCATCTACTCTAAATACATACATTTCACAATGTTTAAACATCATACGTGGCGATCAACTAAAGAAGAAATATTGTTTTTATTAAACACTAGCGCCCCGTCTCGGCTTCGCACGGGTGGACATTTATTTTTGTAAACATTTAAATATAGCCTATGTTACTCGGGGTTAGCATTCTAATGGTGAACGAATTTTTTAATCGGTCCAGTAGGTTTTGAGTTTATTCGTTACCAACATACAAATCTATCCTCTTTAGATCTGTATCTCAGATGAAGTAAAAAAAAGGTAGATATCGCACCTAGAACAAGAAAGTGTAACCAATTTTATAACTTTGTATGAGTCATAGAAATGTTGCCACTTTTTTTACAGTTCCTGAAAATCGAGATACAATACTACAACTATAAGAGTAATATGCGATGCGAATGCGAAAGTATATCTGTTTGTTTTAATAAATTTCAACAATTTGACAATTCAAAAAAAGATGAAACACGTAGGCGTCTATAGAACATTTAAAATTATTCTTGATAGATTGTCCAGTGAGGCATGTAAGCATCGATAAAATATACAACATATGTAATGTAAAACATGTTTTATATAAAAGTAACTTAATATTAAAAAAAGAACTAGTTGGAAGAATAAATAAATTTCTGTAGAAATAAAAATATAATTTTCTAAAAGAAAAAAGTATGTTTTTGTAAACAGAAAATAGAACAAACTCCAGCCGGGGGCACAAAGGACTATTCTAATTTGTACCCCTTGTAGGAGAGATATAAAGTATCAGCCGGAGCGGACATCTCAGTCTCAGTTAAAAGGAGCATGGCCAGCTTCGCCGTCTCCGAGTGGTAGTGGACAGCATTAAGATTGGAATGAAGTGTCCTGGTTTTGCAAAAATTCACGGATAGCGTGACAGTGGTCACCTTGGTTTTATTACTCCGCTTGCTCCTAGTTTTAGCCGCGAGCAGAATCTCCCTCCCCCACCTCCCTCAGAATAAGCGGAGCAGTCTAAATATCCACGCTCTGGAAGAGTAAAGTAGCTTGGTCGTGGATGTTCAGCAAGGAATTCTCCGTCACCAGAAAAGTTTTATTTGATTCCGCTATAATGTCAATGGGGAGGAGGAATTGGGCCTCCAGCCCAAGCGAAACGCAGATGTAAACCTTTACTTCACGCAGGTATTCTGTGAGGTTATGGTACCCTCGGTTCAAGCTGGCTCATCCATGCGATATATATACATAGCCGCTGCGTGGCTCTACCACTGTCAAGTCAAGAGATGGCTGCCAGCTCAGTATTATAGCAGCTACCCTTCATTTTTTTATAGAATAGGGTGACAAACGAGCATGCAGTCCACCTGATGCTAAGTGGTCCCTGTGGTCCATAGACATCTACATATATCACCGATTACGAATCGAAATGCAGATGAGTTGTCACCCGTGAGGACTAAGATGTAATGCCTCATTTCCAATAAAAAGGGTCTCCGGTTCTCTACACTCATCATACGAAACAGCAGCATTAAGCTACTATTTTACGCTGGTATTCTGTGAGAGCGTGGTCCTTCCCCGGTCGAGCCGACCCATTCGTGCTATAACTATACTAGTAATAGTATAACTGCAGCGTGGCTCTACCACTTAAAAAAATGTCTTATTAAAATATTCGTTGGTAGCCTAAAATCATAAATATTTTTTGATAGTAAAATAGTTTGTTAGTACTCAACAATTAAAACAGAAACATCAGCGACTTAAAACATAAATATTTACCTTGACTTCAATTTGAGGTAACATAATAACAACTAATTAAAAAAATATGCTGACTACATATATTTTGAAATAATACTAGTTTTTACGGAATTTATCGCATATATTTAACTTTTTAATACCGACGTTTCGAACGCTTTACAGCACTCATGGTCCCGCACGTGACTTGAGTGCTGTAAAGCGTTCGAAACGTCGGGTATTAAAAAGTTAAATATACGCGATAAATTCCGTAAAAACTAGTATTATTTTAATGTGTAGTGTTCGCGTAAATATAAGAAATCATTACATATATTTTTATAACTTGCCTAAAATTAATTACCCAAATCTTGAACCATTAGAAATAAGAAACACTGCCAACATTCTCCCGTTGCGTAATCTTGAAACATTGACATTCGTGCTTCGAATAACCTTCAAAATTGTGTTGGAATAACAAATTAAAATATAGTTAAATGAGTGTTTACGAGTGAAACGGTATTGCTTCTGACTTTTTGTTCACTTTAGTATTATTTTTGCAACATTTATGGACCAGACGGCTATGGATGGACCAGACCAGGACGGTATTTTGTAGGCAAATTTACTGCATGACGCCTCGGGAAGTACTGAGCGAAAATGAGCGTAGTTTGATGCATGTGTGTGCGTGAACGCGTGTGCTTACATAAAGGAGCGGAGTTTTTTGGCTTCACCAATAACAAAGGCCGCGCTGTATCTACCTTTTTTACTTCATCTGAGATCTGTATGTATAAATTGTACTTACTGGTTTAAACAAAGTATTTTGTATAGTGCCGAGAAACATCTTACCCTTAACTGAGTTCAAATTAGCAATTGTGGCTATATGAAATGTTAAGTAAAACATAATATAATATAGCAATATTTCTAATAGCCACTTTTCAAGATTGCAAGATTTGTCTTAGCAATTTTTGCAAATTTGAAAGGGCTATTTAAAATTAAGTTTCATTTAACCCCAAAATAAAAACCCCATTTCGAAAAACCAAAAATATAGCAGTCTGTAATGGTGCATCCACACATGCCCGGCGGCACGGCCGGCGGCCAATCCGGCGGCCAGGCCGCCGGCCATCCCCTGCGGCACGCGCGGCTTTTGGTTGCCGGCGGCAGTTTGCTTGCGGCTTCGATACGGAGTGGTAGTGTTGTAGTATTCGTGAATAACATAATTTCATATACTTAAACAACGAAATGACAGAATTTAACTGGGATGATAGGGCAGTACTTTTACTAATAGAAAAGTATCAAGAAAATGAACTATTGTGGAACCCAAGGCATATGGATTTCAAAAATCGCAACAAAAGAAATGATGCTATTAGAGATGTTGCTTCTGTGTTTAACATAGCATCATCAGAAATTGAGAGAAAACTGAAGAATTTATCCAGCCATTATTTTCGAGAAAAACGCAAATATGAAGAATCTAAAAGGAGTGGATCTGGACGGGAAGATGTTCAATTGCCGAAATGGTTTGCTTATAAGGCGTTATCATTTCTTAATTAAAATAAATAAAAAAATAAATAAAAAAAAAATAAAATTAAAAGTATAAGCTCAGGATAAAATACAAAAAGTACAATAACCCACTCGACGAACTGGCATTCCAAAAAATTAAAAAACGGTGCTCTGATTTAACAGAATCTTGTTATCTTAAATATATAACTGATCTTGAAAAGTCCCTATCAGTAAATCCAAAAAAGTTGTGGACCTTTCTCAAGAGTAAAAAAGTCAATAGCAATGCGTATCCATCTGCAATGACTTTCGATGATAAGGAAGAAACTTCTGGAACTGGTATTTGTAATATCTTTGCCTCTTATTTTGCCACGGTTTACCGGCCAAGCTTGCCTCTCTGCAATGTACCTGATCTAGAATACTCAGTCTCTTGCTTCCTTGGAAGTCTCACCCTTAGGCGGGAGGATGTTCTGAAAACTCTGAAAGGACTAGATAGGAATAAGGGAGCTGGACCAGATGGAATACCCTCGTTGTTTGTAGTTCAATGCTGTGAATCTCTCTCCTTTCCTCTAACAATAATATTTAATGAGTCTTTAATGAATGGCGTATTTCCCTCGATCTGGAAGGAGGCGAGAATTGTTCCAGTTTTTAAGTCGGGAGATTCGGCATCCGTGAAGAACTATAGGGCCATTTCGATACTCTCAGTCTTTGGGAAGGCATTTGAATCGTTGGTTTGCCCGGTCTTGTCCTATCACATAAAGCATTTAATTTCTCCTTGCCAATCAGGATTTTTGGCATCTCGCTCAACGGTAACTAATTTGATCCCGTTTATGGATTTTGTTTCTAGCTCCCTTGATTCCCGTATTACTGTAGACACCATATACACCGACTTTAGTAAGGCTTTCGATTCAGTTGATCACAAAATTTTACTGGGTAAACTTTCTCGTTTGGGTGTGTATGGCAGCCTTCTGGAATGGTTTGAATCCTATCTTTATCAACGCAAGTCGCACGTTGTGGTTAATGGCTACGCATCGCATTCCTTTCAGCCAACTTCCGGCGTTCCACAAGGTTCGCATCTGGGTCCAATCCTCTTTAATATATTTATTAATGATATCGTGGGTATCTTTGATCATGCTGCTTGTTTCCTTTACGCTGATGATATGAAACTGTCTATGCAGATCGGAGGTATTAATGATTCATTGCTATTACAGGAGGATCTAGATCGACTCGCTGGATGGTGTAGGGAGAACAGGTTATATTTAAATACTGAAAAATGTAAATTTATCAGATTTTCGAGATGCAAAACGAATTTGTCGCCGTCCTACAATATTGCCGGTCAAAAATTGCAAGAGGTGGACTCTATTCGCGATTTGGGCGTCATTATGGATAAAAAATTACGTTTTCACAAGCACATTGACCAGGTTGCAACAAAAGGTTTCCAGATGCTAGGGTTTGTGCTGCGGAATGCAATGGAATTCAAAAAGCCCTCAACAAAAGTTCTCCTGTATTTGGCATTGGTTCGTTCGGGTTTGGAATATTGTAGTCAGGTTTGGTCCCCACATTATGAGGTTCATATCAGGCGAATCGAGCGAATACAGAAGAGATTTCTCTGGCACCTATCCTACCAATCTAACAAAGCGAAACTGCTGCCCTCATATAAGGAACGTCTTGCCTATTTTAAAATGACTAGCCTACAAGGGCGAAGATTGTTTTTGGATCAATTGCTTTTTTATAAGATTATCAATGGCCTCATTGACTGCCCTGCGTTATTGCGATCTGTCAATTTTAATATCCCATACAAGTTGCCGCGTTGCGTACGTTACGTTCCATTCTCACCAAAAGGTGCCAAAAGTAGCTTAGGTCACCATGCCACCATGAATCGCTTACAGAGACAGTACAACTTAATATCTAAGTCTTACAACATCGACATCTTTTCTGACAAGCCGTTGAAATTTAGACGCAAGCTCGGTCAGTTTCTCAAGTCAATGGTGTCTGTTTGATTCAAGTATCTATATCTATTGTTTGATTTTTTAACATATAAAAATAATGATTGTTAAATGATGATTAAAATGTTTTAAGTTGTCATTTGATTAGTGTTAACTAACCTATTTTAAGTTTTATTTGCATAGTCCACATTTGCATGCCGTGGCAGCCTATAATTAAGATGACGCTTAGCTTTAGTTTGATATTCATGTTACCTTAAAATCCATGTATTAGTGTTCGTCTTGTTGGTTGTCCTTTTAAATAAATAAAATAAAAAAATAAAGAATGCACCGGTACCGACTCTGAACAGCCACACATATAAAGTAAGTACCCATCAAATTCTTATAATTAAAGTAGACTAGTTGGTCGCCCATTAGTCGAAAATCGACCATAATTAATTTAAAATACATTATTTCAATAAGTAATATTTTCGTAAATAGGGGTTCAAAGTTTTTGCCTCGCGTATTAATATTAGATACCTACTACCTACTGTAGTATGTTAGGGCAGGTTAAAATAAACCTATCATTTAAACACCACTTTTATAAAGAAATATAAATGTTTATTAACATCGATAAAACTAAAACAATAATGCGCGGTGCGAGTTACGAAAAGACATTCATTCGCCGTAGATGTTAAGCCTGTTTGTAATTATTTATAAGATTTCCTTTTTATTTTCAGTCTTCTCAAGATAATATCACTCCCCAGACTACGCTACCTTCGACAAGGACTTCACGAAAACGAAATATAGAGAAAGATCCTGAAGTTGATGAAGCTTTGCAATTACTGAGGGAGATTACATCTGATGCAAGGCAACGCGATGATGCTGCTATATTTGCAGACTATATAAGTAGCAAGTTGAGGAAGATGGATCGTTACACGATGTGTACAGTACAACATCAAATCCAGACTATTGTCTATGAAGCAGAAATGAGAATGGGTTCGATGTATTTTGATAGGACCAATAATACTACTCACCCTCTTCGTTATCAAAATGTTCGTCCAAAATACTTCACAGGCCAACCTACAACGTCAGCAATGTCACCGTCGCCTTCAACTTCGCGCTCTTACTCTGTTCAATCAGACTATGAAATGCAAAACAGCCCAGATGTCAACACAAGTGACAGTCTGTTACTAGTCTTGGAAAATAATTTAACCGAAAATAGTGTAATAGATTAAAATAAATGTTTATATTTTTGGTTAAATTATTTTATTTTATTAAAAGCTTAAAATTATTGATAAGTGTTAAGATTCCTAAATAAAACAATTATTTGAATAATCACATTTTATTTCTTTCAAACATTATATTTGATATTGCCACGGAAGCTGACCTTGTTCCGAGAGAAAATAACATTTTAGCTCATTTCTAATTACACTTGGTTCTACATTTAGAGCGATCTGCGCAATATTTTGTTGCTCTTCGTTCAAAACTCCATCAGTAGTTCTTTCATTTCTCTTCATAAAATTATGCAGATGCACACAAGCCATCACGACAATTTTTGCTTTCTCATTTTGTAAACCAATGCGTGAATGCAAAATTCTGAATTTATTAGATAAAATGCCAAACGCGTCTTCTACAACCATGCGCCCGCGACTAATTTTATAATTAAAAAACCTCTCAGGTGATCCTTTTGCATGATATCCAGAAAATGGTTTTATTATATTCTGTGAGATGGGGAAAGCATCGTCACCGATGAAATAAAAAGGTACAGGTGTATTTCTCCCTTGTAATGGAATCGCTTGTGGCAGACTTAAAGTACCATCTCGTATCATATCAAATAAAGTTGAATTTCGTAGAACTCCACCATCAGATATTCTGCCCTGACATCCAATGTCCACGTATAAAAAGTTATAATTGGCATCGATTAAAGCTAGCAAAACAATACTGAAATATGACCTATAGTTAAAAAACTCGGAACCGCTATTATTTGGACATAGTATACGTATATGTTTCCCATCGAGGGCACCTACGCAATTTGGTACATTCCATTTCTGCAGGAAACTCCGAGCCACTGATAGCCATTCTCCCTGTGTATTCGGCATCTGTAAAATAAAATTGTTTGTGATATTTATGTGTTTAGTTTTAGTTATATGTATGTAAAATGTGTGTGAAGTTCCAGGTACAGTATAAAATCATAGACATTATAATTCGACTAGGAATAGATACGTCACTTAGGAAACCGTTGTCCTGTGAACTCTCCTGGCAAGAATCTTTCAGTTAAAATGTTTGTGTACATGCCATAATTGTGTGAATAATAATAATAATAATATATAATAAATAATAATCTGTTTTGTTTTCTAATATAGGCGTTTGGTTTCTAACTACCTAATGTGTTACGGATATTTGTACTTACCCTTAAATAATTGGATAATGTAGATACCAAAGCTTGACAAACATCGGGAATTATTAAAGAAATAACTTGTGGAGACACTAAACAGTGTACCGAGTGAAAAATAAGAGTCTCCTGTAGCCAGGTATCTCAAAGTAATTGCTAGTCGATCGGAAGCTGACACAGCATTTCTCCAGCGGATGTCAGTTTTTGATATCATGGGTCCAGTTAAATTCAGTAATATTTCAAATTCTTCACTAGAGATCCTTAGAAAAGTGTTAAATTTCGAACGAATATTTCTTCGGTTTATGTCGTCCTTTCTAAAATCTTCAAGTATGAGGGACACCTTAGGCCTATTTCGTAGACTTGGTCTGACCCAATGTCTTCGTTTGATTTTGCGGTTCTTTTTATGAATAATAACATACAACGCTACACTTGCTATACACGCAACTATATTATAGTCCAACATCTTCCAATCTTACGTACACGACTAACTTCGACGAAAGTCACAACACTACTGCGTAAATTGCAACCGCATCTGCAGGCCGCCGGTAAGGCCGGCGGCAAATTTAGCGGCAAGGCAGTCTGAAAGCCAGCGGCAAACCCGGCGGCATAAGCCGGCGGCATGTGTGGATACGCCATAAAAGGTAGAAAAAAGAGCAAATAGAATCACTCAAATTGCATTATGTCACAGTTTATTTTACTCTGCACATACATTTCTAGATGTAGTATACAAGGTGAAAGTTTTAACCATGGTATAAAATTAACTGCCCTTCTTGGGAATGGACGTTAAAATTATTGAGGATGCAAAATAAAAGAAAAAAAACGGATCGAATCTTTTATTTCGCAAAATCCAAATAACTCCACTTTACGGTGCTATAAAATGTGGCTCACATTATAAATCATATCATAAAACTAAACAGATTTTTTATAATATTTTAATACGAGTTATAATAATCATAAAAAAAAATATTATGTAGAAAATTGTTAAAATTTTTTATGTTATTTCCACCTATTTATTAATGCTACTAGTTGGTTCTACATATGTTGTTTCGTTCATTACCGTAGGTGATGCGATGAAATACATTTCGGACATTTTGTGGTGTAAGTGTAAAATGTATTGATTACACAACACTAAAGCGCCACTATCAGGTCCAAATAAAGTTGTTTTTTCACTAAGTCAACATATACATACTATCGATATATACGGAATTCTAGGTAGAAAAGAAGTCTAATTTGAATATAATAGGCAAAAATAGGTGACACATTCTTTTATAATCCAAAATCTTTATATAATTTCTCATATAACTACAGTACTGTAGGGGACTCTCATACATTTCGCACAAACATACAATCAATACTCTCATACACACGCATTTACACTATACACCCTTCTTATCATCTGGCCGACGTTTCCTAGGTCCGATTCCGCACGGCGTCATCGATACAAGACCATATTTGGTAATAGATATTGGTAAAAGGTGCATGACCATATATGGTAATATCGTGCAGCAGTGGTTGCGGTCAGCGGTATTAAAGCACCGCCCCTTTACCGATTGTCCAGTCGCTCAGTCGCTTAGTACTTCGACGCGAAGAGATTGTCGCTTTGTCTCACGATTTAAATTTACTTATGTGTGCCGATTTTTTGTTAATTTATTATCTTGTTCTTTGTTTTTCTCTACCTCTGTACTTATTCCTTATTGTAAAAACTTACGTTGCATTCTCCTTCTGTCTATTTATTTCGGTGTGACTTTATATTTGTGTGTGAACATTAAATCGCGAGAGTTAGTACAGATTTATCTTTTATTTGTACACCTCTTACACACACCTAGTAGTTATCACACCCTACTACATTGTGACTTCTACAGTATTTATGATTTATTGTAGATTTAAATTGTCTTAATTTAATTGACCATTATTTAAATCAAAGTCACTTAATTTAGATTACCCGTAAGCAGCAATAACTGATATCCGGAATTATTTTGTATATGGAGTGTTGTTGCCACTCACTTTACAGTTTTTAACACTCACTTTTTATTAAATATTGAAGCTGTTGAGTGTAAAGGTTGACACTGATAGTGTATAATAAAAGTAAGAGCCATTACGAGCCCATTTTCTTCGGCTGAATAGACTTTACCGCGTTAACCCAGTTACGTTTGATTTCAACCTTTTCCACTTCGTTTTATAGTTATAGACAATATAAATTATATATAGACAATATATATATATATATATATATATATATATATATATATATATATATATATATATATATATATATATTAGACGAGAACTCATTCCCATCAACAATTAAATGAAAATTTAAATGGAACAATAAGTTAAAGTCAAGTCAAGGAAACTTGTTTGATTGATAAAGCTAGCCTCATAAATTCTGTTTTCACCAGTCACCGTACAGTGGCAGTGTAAGAGAACCCACTACCTCCTATCATCCCCTGTATGTCGTAAGAATATGAATTTATTGTATTGTTTTTGTTTCTGATGTCGGATTTAAATTTATTTTAAAGTTTTGTACCCATTTGAGGGTAATAAGAAATGTCAAAATCTTAATGATTAAAAACTTCATCTCTTATTTTTTCACTATAAGTTATAGAATTTCTTCTTTAAATTTATATCGGACTATAACGTATAACCATACTCAAATATATTTAATAAAAACAACTTTCAAAATTGGTCCTAAGTTGACTATGAAATCGGTAAACATAGATAAAGTATAGATACAGTCGGACATAGAACCTCCTCCCTTTTAGAAATTAGTAAAAAATTAAACAGGAAATGGGCAGCAGCTAATAACAATACAATGTAATACAAAATAGCGGTTTGTAACAAAAATGACAAGCGTAGCAACTATGGCTCTGTTTAATTATCTAACTATGTGCCGAAACTAGATAGGAACTTAACTACCAATTATTTCCGAAATCAAACAACCGTTACTCCGCATGATGCACATTTTACTAAATTCAACTAAATACTGTAGGTTTATGTAATGTTCAAACCATAACGCGTTTTGAAATCGATGAGCGACATCTAGTGCCATATTAACTAAACCAATTCGACACAAACATGGCGTTGAGCAACATCTAGTCTGTTGATAAATTAACTAAAGTAAATCGAACAAACATGCCGCCCACCAAGGACTTCTCAAGTCCTTAACAACAAGAGAGCTGCATATCTTTAAATCAACTCACGAATTAGTAACTAATTAATCATAACAGCAATAATATAAAGAACTTAAAATCTTGACTGCTAAAAAATTAATTACAAAGCTAAATAAATAATCAACAATAAATTGTTAAATCTAAGTAATAGCTATCTCTATCTATTTTTTATAGAATAGGGTGACAAACGAGCAAACAGTCCACCTGATGGTAAGTGGTTGCTGCGGCCCATAGACATCTACATCTATCCTCCATTAAAAATCAAAATGCAGATCCGTTGTCACCCGTGAGGACTGAGATGGAATGCCTCGTTTCCAGTAAAAAGCGTCTCCGGTTCTCTACACTCACCATACGAAATACAGCAGCATTAAGCTACTATTTCATGCTGGTATTCTGTGAGAGCGTGGTCTTTCCCCTGTCGAGCCGACCCATTCGTGCTACAACTATACTACTAACATAACTGCAGCATGGCTCTACCACGTATAAGGTCTATAACAAATGTACAACGAATACATAAGAAACTGTAGTGTTATGCTACTTACATATCATTTTACACTATTTTAAATTTATTTTTCCATTCTGTTTTTGATTTTCTGCATTCACCTCAAAACTGGATATTTTGCATCACCTTTATTTCCATAGGATCCTGTAACGTTTTTTAAACCATAAGAAC